CCTGCAACTGCCTGGCCAAGTCCCTGCTGTTTCTTTGGGAAGATTTTAGAAGTGGTTTTCCATTGCTTCCTTCCTAGGGCTGACAGAGGGATTGGTCCAAGGTCACCCTTTGTGCCTAATATAGGACCACAACACACAGTCTTCTGGTTTGTGCCCTGGTGTCTTAATTTCTATATCTAGAGCATGGTTCAGGGACAGCAGCACTATCGTTCATTAATTTTGTTGAATAGTATTAAACTGTTGAAAAACCTTAATCACTTAAATTTGAATTTCAAAACAAGGAATTCTCCCAAAAGCTTCTGACATGGGTATTAAAATAATAACCTTTGGTCTCATACATCTGAATGTTTTGAGACAATGGGTGCTTATAGAATCATATCAAACACACTTTCGGCACAAACTAAATATTAATAATTGTTTAATAAATTCAGTTTCATGAGAAAGAAAAATATCATCAACTGAAAAAATAAAAGCAAGACAGAGAGAAAACAGCACAATTCAGGATAAATGAGGACTCTGTATAATCCTAGCTTACTATCCAGATGGATGTAGACACTTCCCATGTAACACAACATGAAAAGAGCCAGTTATTCTCTCTTTCATAACTTGCTACCTCTGAAGTTTACAAAGTCAATTAACTGAAATAGAAACATTAAAAAAATTTTTTTATTTATCATTCTTTTTGAATGTTTTACAGAGTATTATATTCCTGGATTTGTAAGAAATTATTTTCTCAATGATATAAAAATCTATTGAAAAACTAGGTCATCAAGGTTTGTCACCCTTGTTAATTTCTCATTCTGCAGTCTTGTCACAGTTACTTGTTCTTCTACACTTAGGTGTGAGAAATTTATGCACCGCACACATGAACATTCAAAAAGAGCACAGTGTAATTAGAATTAATGGGAAAAGATTTTCTTGCATTTTCTTACAGAAAAAGTAATGCACGTCAGCATATTTTTAAGAAAGAGCGAAAAAGTTACTTTTATTTCTATGCCAGGGTAGTATCAAAAATAGTAGCAATAAAGCAGGGGTCCCCAATACACCGATCTGTTGACCAGCACTGGTCTGCAGCATGTCAGAAACCAGTCTGCACAAACAAGCAAAGCCCCATCCAAGGATGCAGGCAGCAGACGAAACCATGCCCCTTCCGGTCTGTGAAAAAAACTTTTTCCATGGAACCGGTCCCTGGTGCCCAAAAGATTGGGGGCCGCTGCAATAAAGGATAATTTTTAGCTATTCAACAATAAAAATCTTTAATTAATACCAGCACAGAAATACTTTACACAACTCTCAATTGTCTGGTTGTGTTTTAGCCCTGAAACAAGAGCTATCCTACAATTGCTTGGGTTAACAAGCATGTTAGCCCATCACGTAACGTGAGAGAATATAAGGGCTACCTCCATTTCTTCATGGAAGGAAAGTTGTTACTATTCAGAAGACCCTCTCTTCAAGCACTGCATGGTGAACATTAACTACAGATGAAGTCACAGAACAGATAAGACCATTAAATAATATATCAACTGATCTTTCAGGAGTGCTTTCCAACCATTTTATAAAAACCTTCTTTAAAGAAAAGTGGGTTGGTATTCTGCCACCATTCTTTTACAGAAAACAAGCAATACATTTACTGTGCATCCTTTTGCTATTAGTGCTGCTAACAGCAGTTGTAGCAATATACTAAGTGGAAATTTGTTAGGCACATGCCAATGCTTGTTCTGGTTCTCCTTTCCTCTTTTGCGGCTAGCTAAGACATTCACAGCCACTTATAAATCCTAGGAAAGCAGCATGGGAATAAAGCATCCAAAAGACACCCCTTGATGTTTCAGGAGGATTCTAATCATATTCCTAGATTCAATTAATATTTACCTATTTGAGTCTATAAGAGGTAGTCTCGTGTAATAGTTACAGAATTGGGCTATAAACACAAGAGACTACAAACTCTATCCTGCTTAGGCACAAAACCAGATGGGTGACATTGGCCTGTCTCTTTCTCTCAAACCTAGGAAGGAGGCAATGGCAAATCACTTCTGAAAAACCTTATTAAGGAAATCACTAAGTCTTGTTCAAGCAGCCTCCAAAAATTGGAAACAATTGAATGGAAGGGAAAAAAAAGGATCTGCAAAAAACTGTCCTTCAGGCATCCACAATTCATTAAAAAAAAGGATATTCTATTGCTTCCTAATTGCTGGAGCCTTCAAATTGGAAAGGAAATAATTGCCATAAGTTACGTCCTTTGTATTGGTATATTTCCAAGAGAGTGGGGGGTGGGGGAGAGAAACTGACATTTATGGAGAAGAACATCCTAGCAGATCCTTGCTTTCAAAAAATATTTTCAAAAATTGGCGGCTTAAGACATGAAAATGATTGTGTGGGTGACATCTCATGTATTTATATGTGTAGGAAGGAGGGGCAAATTTTCCTAAGAGCACATCCATGCCCCTAATTTTCCCTGAGGGTATCTGCTGACCATTGTTTAAGGACAAGTCCTTGTGATGTAGTTTTTCTCACATCTCCATCCTATAACACCAACTGAATTCTGTTGTTTCTGACCCAATGTTGAAATAGTCCTTTCCAACTGTGGAAATAAGCCTTGCTGCATGCATGATTTATGTCACAGAAAGGGCTAGAATTTTGCTATTTTCGGATGCTGAGAGCATATCCCCTTCTATCGAGCCACTATCACATTCTTCTCATAGTCTTTTGGTTTGTGTTGCTGGGCTGATATATCTCCAGGAGAGGAGCCACAGCACTCCAAAAACTAGAGAAAGCAGCTTTAGAATGACCTGCCTCTCACAGATCTGTCTACCACTTTGTTAAAAAACTGGCACTGATTTAATGATATCAAGATGATGAAGGCTAAAGCAGCATCCAAGATTATTAGAGAATATTGCAAACCAGAAAGTCTCTAAAGCCACTTGTCAGTTGAGGCCCTTGTTTCTACATAGCTCTCAAATGCAACAGCCACCGCTCTAGCCATTTATCAAAACTTGTCTCTCCCCACCCCACCCCAGCAGATACTATTAGCAATAGCACTTATATACTGCTCTATAGTGCTTTATAGCTCTAAGTGGTTTACAGAGTCAGCCTATCGTCCGTCCGTCCCCCCAACAACCTGGGTCCTCATTTTACCAACTTTGGAAGGATGGAAGGCTGGGTCATCCTTGAGCCAGTCAGGATCGAACTCCTGGCAGTTGGTAGAATTAGCCTGCAATACTGCATTTTAACCACTGCGCCACCATTATAGGAAAAGTTATTGTGCTTTCCTTATCACTCCTTATGAGGAGCAATTAGTGGATCTTTATCCCACCAGGAGGAAATTGTTGTACTATGAAGAGATGAGAGAAAGTAAATCACCTTCTTCTGTCTTCCTGGCAGAGGCCAAAAATTAAAATGGAAGCTTCTTGTCCTGTAGATTTTACTGTAGACTAGCAAAGCAGAACAAAATAACTCTGCAGACATCACCCCTCTTTCATTTTCTAGCCACAATGAACAACAAGAGAAATAACACATTTTCTCCTAGGATGGGTCGATTAAGTTACAGAAGAGTATGCTTATTCTTTCCTGTGAAGATAAGGAAGTCATGACAAATGTTTCTATAGTTTGAACAGCATGTTTGAAAGTTAGCCTCTTTCCACATAGTCTAAAATAAATGCACTTTTATCCAGCATGGGTGCCCTGTTGATCTAACAATAACCTATATAGACCTATAATATATACATTATCTATAAGGCTGTAATATATGACATTTATTGTATCACATCCAATCATTTTTGTCATTGTTGAGTTGAGAAGCCAAAACTAAGTTTAAAGAATAGATGGGGAAATTGTTTCTCAAATGTACAGTACAGTACAATAGAAAGGTGATAAACAATACATTAGCATTGAAATTCTGTAGAAAGAAAATCTCTAATTTATCCAATTTCTGTGAACAGTTCTGGCAATCTCCTTCAATTGTGCTAGTCAGAGGAAGGATGAAGGAACCATACAGGTCAATGAAATTCCAGTCCCAACCACTGAGAAATATTTCAGCAATTGTAAGGGCTTCTGAGAACTCGTTAAGTATTAAATACACACTTTTAAAAGCACATTTTAATAAGGTCTTCGCTTCTTCAAAATGAATGAAATACATGGCTTGCTATCACTCATCAATTTTGACACCACTACAGTACTGAAAAACTATTTCAGTAAAAACTTTTAACATGCACTGATCCTGGAGAAAAAAAAAGTGCAAATACAGGCAGTCCTCAACTTACGACCACAATTGAGCCCAAACTTTCTGTTGCTAAGCGAGACATTTTAAGTCAGTTTTGCGCCATTTTATGAGCTTTCTTGCCACAGTTGTTAAGTGAATCACTGCAGTTGTTAAGTTAGTAACATAGTTAAGTGAATCTGGCTTCCCGATTGACTTTTGCTTGTTAAAAGGTTGCAAAAGGTGATCACATGCCCTGGAACACAGTAATGGTCATAAGTGTAAACCATTTTGATTTGGGATCAAATGCTGCAATGGTCATAAGTGTGAAAAACGATCATAGGTCACTTTTTCCAGTGCCATTGTAACTTCGAATGATCACTAAACAAGTAGTTGTAAGTCAAGGACCAACTGTATACAGGTCAAACTTTCTAGCCTTGCATAAAATACCTTTTATGGTTTTGAAATTGTAAATATCCAATCAATTATTGTTAAAAGCCTTCTATGTGAACATTAAACCCTGCTCTTGAGTGCCATTGAAGATTTGTAAAAGAAATGGGGTTAAAATAACTTATTATTCCCTTATATTCTATATGTAAACTATACAGTATGTAGATAGTAGCACTGTACTGTTCGTGTGGAAATATAGTCCCGAAATATAAACATGGACGTGGTGTGTGCATCAGTATACTTACTGGAACAAAGAAACTGGCTTAGCCAACGGTAACATTTTAAGCTAAATATTTATTAAAAAAACAACAACTAGTGAAATGAGAACTTGCACTTAGCTCTCATTACTTTCAATTACCTTGTCACTGTCATCAGTACAGATGTGATCTTGATGGATCAGCTGGCACTGGAAGGAAGCACCAATACCACCTGCGAAGAAAGTAAGCAGAAAATGTGCCTTGTGAGTTTCTTCAGTTGTTTTCACACTTAGAATGGAAAATGAAATAACTGCCACTGTCAACGCAGTCACTTAGCAACCCAGACCTAAATCCCCCATAGCTAAGCATTTCGGCCATTTCTTCTCCTTTAAATACATCTAAATATATGATGACAATCTTATTTCCAATTGGTCATTCTCTCAGGATTCTGTGCTATACACCTACTGTAATTTCCTACGTATTCTAATCTTAAGACATTTCTAAATTACATTATGTAAAATCGTATACAACATATTTTTCACAAAGGCATAATAGCTACTGGATTAACAAAATGAAGCTGTTGATTTTTTTTTCAATTGGTGATTTATTTGTAAATAATGGTTTATTCTGAGCTAAACATGTGTCTTTAAAACATGATGGATAGCTTCTAAAAGTAATTGGCAATACACAGTGTCACATAATTAAGTCCACGCAAGGTGGCATTAAGATTTATACTGAACACATTTATTAGCTAGTTGCTGAATTGCAGCTCCAGTCAGCAGAATTGTTGTTTCTGGAGTTATATAATTCAGCAACATCTGGAAGACCACCATCCCATTTCACCACCCCTGTGCATTGACTGTTAAAGAACAGAATAATCTAATTATTTAATCAATCTGTTCACAATTCTCAATTTAAAATCTAGGTTATAAAAAGCTACTATGTTATTTGCACTGCCACCAGTGTCAAATTTATCTTTTTACATATCTTGAAAACATGTACATATTCACTACAGAACAATCAAACCCAAAAGTTCTGACAAAAGCTAAAAGGTAAAGTAAAGGTTCCCCTCACGCATATGTGCTAATTGTTCCTGACTCTAGGGGGCAGTGCTCGTCTAAATTTCAAAGCTGAAGATCCAGCGCTGTCCAAAGGCAACTCTGTGTTCACGTGGCTGGCATGACTAAACACCAAAGGCACACGGAACGCTGTTACTTTCCCACCAAAGGTGGTCCCTATTTTTCTATTTGCATTTTTTCAATGCTTTCAAAATGCTAGGTTGGCAGAAGCTGGGACAAGTAACAGGAGCTCACTCCATTATGCACTGCTAGGGATTTGAACCGCTGAACTGCCAATCTTTCTTATTGACAAGCTCAGTGGCCTAGCCACTGAGCCACTGTGTCCCTCTGACAAAAGCTATAAGCAGTCGACTTCTGAATCGGATTGGTTGTTCTGAATTAGCGCTTTAAATTTCTTGCTACCAAGATGTTATTAAAATACGATGATTGCTTGAATTCAAAGAATGAATTCCACTGGCAGCATAAATTATGAATGCATGCTGCCTTCTCCAAATAGCAGTACACTGAAACCAAGGCTGACAATTGGTTGCCATATTCAACCAATTTAATTTCAAACAATCTGTGCAGTGCTCAATGCTGAAAAAGACTGCTCTGTCCTTCCTTCCTTCTCTGTACTTCAAATGATATTTTTAGCTGAGGAAGCTAAAATAACATTTTGGAGAAATTTCCACAGCATTGCTACCAGTTTAATATGCTACGGAATTCAATCCCTTGTACTTCCTTCCCCACTTTAGTGCCTGCTCCTTTTTCCTTCCTGATTAGCTTGACGTATGGAAACATAGTGTTCTGTTATGAAGCCGCTACTCTGCATTCAGTCAAAACATGCTGAGCCCTACCCAATACTTGGCCTTTGCATGCTGCTAGTTCATGGATCAGAGCCAATTCACATCATTTGAAGCCTGAGTCATCCCTCTAGTACACTCACTGGCTTTACCATAGTTACCGGAACAAAGTTCTTGTCATGCCTGTTCGAAATATACTGGCTGGGACACAATAAGCTGTTTCAAGCAAACCAAAGTGCAAAGAACTGGGATTTCTACTGTGTTTGTCTTCAAACAGGGCCTTCCATTAAGAGCCAAGTCAACTCTCTTCAAGTGTAGCTCGACTGCTGCTTATTGCATGTCACACCAAGGCAGTTTTCTTGGCAACCCCAATGGAAATACTGCCTTTTTGTGGGAATATTTTTTTCTTTCTTTCCCAGCCTGACCAAACATCCAGGTGTTCCCTGCAATTTCCCATCCAAATAATAAACGGGCCTGGTTCCATTTGGATTGCAATTCAACCTAAGGGCAACCATATCCTCATAAGCACTGAGGCTCTCTGCCATATCGTTAAGTTGTAATTTAAGAAACAGAAATCCAAATTAATGTGAATGGAGATGGTCAGTGTTCAATTTACTCTTTATACTGCCCTGGGAGGATTACATTCCATATTTTACATAGGTAGTCTTCAATTTACAAGCATTTGTTTAGCAATTGTTCAAAGTGACAATGGCACTGAAAACAGGGACTTACGACTGTTTATCATACTTACAAACATTGCTACGTCCTCATGGTCACACAATCAAAATTCAGATGCTTGGCAATTACTTCGTATTTATGAAGGTTGAAGTTTCCTGGGGTCATGTGATCACCTTTTGCGACCTTCTGACAAATAAAAGTCAATGGGACAGCCAGATTCACTTAACACCTCTGTTACTAACTTAACAACTGTAATGATTCGCTTAACTGTCGCAAGGTCATAAAATGGGCAAAAATTCACTTAAGACATATCTTGTTTAGCAATGGAAATTTTGGGCTCAATTGTGGTTAAAAGTTGAGGATTATATATACATATCACAATTTTTCTATTTAAAATGGTTAATATGGTATAAAAAGTTTCTTTGTCATGTAAGATACTATTCTGGGCTAGGCTGTATAGTCCTCGAGTTCCGACCACAATTGAGACCAACATTTATGTTACTAAATGACACATTTTAAAAATTAGTTTTGCCCCACTTTACGGCTTTTCTTGCAACAGTTATTAAGTGAATCATTGCAATTGTCAATATAGTAACTAACATGGTTGTCAAGCGAATCTGCCTTCCCCATTGACTTTGCTTGTTCAGAAAGTCACAAAAGGTGATCACATGACCCCAGGACACTGCAACCACCATAAATATGAACCAATTGCCAAGCATCTGTATTTTGATCATGTGACCATACTGCAATGGTTGTGAGAAAAATGGTCATCAGTCCCTATTTTCAAATTGTTCTAACTCTGAACGGTCAAGAAATGAATAGTTCTAAGTCAAGGACTACCTGTAATGCCGTCATCTCTGATAGTTAAATCTTACAAAATGAGTTCTCTTTAGGTTTCCTAGCTCATTGAAATTATTTCATTAAATGAAGCTTTATGATTGGACAACTGCATTTAAGGCATCTTGATTCATACGAATGGTATTTGTCTTCTGCATTCATGTTTTCCAAACTTGCCCACGAAGGACTGATACTTCTGAATTGAGGCTGCAAGCCGTTGAATCCAAGGCATATTCTGTGTTTTCTTCCTTTCCTGCATTCCCTGATTCGGTCAGCGAACACAGAACTTAGCACAGCCTTCCATCTGAGGAAACTATACCTTTCTTTCCCCACCTTTTTTGCAAAGCTGTAACTTCTCCAAAGCATTGATGCTTCAAGGGAAGGAACAAAAGTCTGAATTGATCTCTTGAAAACAAGTTTTAAAACTAGGCCACTGACTGCATAAAATTAGCTTCAGGTAGGCCATGCCCATCTTCCACCAATCTGCAACTAGCTTTTGTTGACAACTTAAAAGCTCCTATTTAGTCGACAAGATGTGTACACAATCAGTTCTTATATTTGGTTTCATAGATCCTTATCTATATACTGTATAATACGTCTTGCCAGAGTGAAAACTTCCCTTGCGCACCAGAAATAAAGGAACTTTTATACCAATTAAATTAAATTGAACTACACCAGGATATGTATCTGCGTATATTTTAGATTTTCAGAATACAGGTAGTCCTCAACTTATGACCACAATTGAGCCCAAAATTTATGTTGCTAAGTGAGAAATTTGTTAAGTGAGCTTGCCCTATTTTACGACTTTTCTTGCCACATTTGTTAAATGAATCACTGCAGTTCTTAAATTAGTATTATGGTTGTTAAGTGAATCTGGCTTCCCCATTGACTTTGCTGCTCACAAGGTCACTAAAGGGGATCACAATACTACGGGGCACTGTCTCCGTAATAAATGTGAGTCAGTTGTCAAACATCTGAATGTAAATCATGTGATCATTGGGATACTGCAATGGTGAAAAATGGTCATGTCACTTTTTTCAGTGCTGTTGTAACTTTCCCATTTCCCATTTCTAAATGGCTGCCATAAAGGCCATAACTAGTAACAAAATGTAGTTTACCACAACGCAAACCCATGTAACCACTATTTTCTATAGGTCACTACATTGGATCTTGCTTTCATTTATTTTCTGGGAAGATTAATCTACTCTCAGATAAAGTACTGGGAAGAAGCCAGGGGAGAACTGGCAAATAACACTTCTGGCTGGCCCCAAAGTGGGGTGGGAATGGAGATTTTGCAATATCTTTCCACCAGGAATGGGGAGGGAATTGGGATTTTGCAGTTTCCTTCCCCTGCCACACCCACAGAACCGGTAGTAAAAACATTTGAATTTCACCACTGGAAGCAGCTATTCACAAAATATTACCTAGATATTGGACTTATAATTAGAAACATGTTGGATTAATATGAGTCACCAGTAATTAATACATTTAAATGTATTTTTATTGTTCCCTTTGAAAACATTCATTTCTATTATCACATATTCTAAAGCAAATTAATAGTCTGGGTGCGACAAGAGCAGAGGTATTATGAGAACTACAATGTGAGTCGACATCAGAAAAAATGCCTCTGGATATTGTATTTATATTATTCTTAATGCAAAATTTATTGGGACAATGTGTAAACAGCCTTGTTCAATTTAATATGGAACTTTTCATGCTTTGCATTTGACTTGCAATAACTCTGCCAAAATCCTGTGCAATACAGGTAATTCTCATTTAGCAATTGCCCCATTTAGACCATACACAATTACATGGTGATTAAAAAGTAACTTTGCATCCAATCCTCACATTTATGG